CAACTAAAGATTTATACACGAGTGATATTTGAAAACTATAGTAGTGTAAATCTTAATTGCTCCAGCATTCATACAATTACTCATTTATTATATTATTGGGAAAATCACGAAAGCGCGCGTGATGATTTGCACTGCAGTGGAAATTAAAAATTAACGATAAATTGGCCTGCTCTGAGCCAATCACAATGAAGTAACTTTCTCAGTTAAATAATAATATGGCCATGGTTAGCTCGCTGAGCGGGCAAGATGAACTAAATCCTGCGCTGTGATTGGCTACCAGCGCTGCCAAGATGGCGCAATCTTGTGCGTTCGCGATTACCCGCTGTGTCCCGCAAGAAAATGGTGTTCTTTTTCCATATAATAAATCCTTTATCGACCTAACTTGTTCGGCCAAGATGGCTGGATATCGGTCTCACTCTTCATTGCGTGTTTATAGACTTCGACTCCGTCTGGGTCCATAAGAAAAAAGAACTTGGTCAATATCCAGCTATCTTGACCTCACTCTTGGTCATATATATTGAACATTGAAACATAGGCATGCAAGGCGTACAAGAGACTTTTTGTGGATTAAAAGCCTTTGGGAAGCAGCATTTCGCTAGACTCTTGACAGTTATGGTTAGGTTTATCCAACAAGTTTGTTTGGTTGCGATGTACAGCAAATTTAAAATTTTAGAATTAATGAACTACTTTCAACTTCAAATTTTGGTTGGCTAGTTAAAAGTTTGGGGGTAAAAGAACTATGACAGAACTTTTCACCTTTATAAATGTGAAATCAAACTTAATTTTAATTTAACGATTCTACCGGTTGCTTTGTTTTAGAACTACAGTGGAACTGTTCACAGCAAGATAAAGTCAGCAATAGTAATGAAATGACGTAACAGTTCCGGCAGCAAACGGTAGAGAACGAAGAGAACATATTGGAAAACGAAATTCTCTCTTCCTGAACATTAGCACATAAGCTGGATGCTTCTAGCCCGCTTCTCTCCCTATTTTACCGGGGCCTCTCATTCTCTTTTTCTCGTTATTATTCGCTACTTCTTTGCCAATTTTCTGAGACCCTTTCTTTCTTTTTTTCGCGCTGTTCTTCGCAACTTCTTTGACTATTTCCGAATACCCTTTCTATCTCTCTCTACTTGTTCCTCCGGCTACTTCTTCGCCTGTTTTCTCTTCTCTTTCCCGTTGCAGTTTGCTTTGGCGCTGTCTCCTTGAACTTAAATTTACTATACTCTTGTTTATCGACATAACAAGAGATATCAATAAGGACGCATACGTTTAAAAGTAGTTTTGATACTTTTTTTTTTGGCCGACCTTGTCAAGCTATTTCCCGCCAAAAAACACAGCTTGCCCTAGGCGTGCATTAGGCCATTTCAATGTTTTCCTTCGTTTTCCAAGTCACTTTGATTTGAAATTTATATTTATTATCTCAAATTATCGCGTGTTAAGAAAATTCAGTTAGTGAATCATCCATTATTTCCTCTTTTATGTTACTTGCCTGTTATCCTACTCACTGGTCTGTTTCATTTTTTTGAGGTACGGGGCTCAGCTCGAGCACGTGCAGTGCAATTGGCACGCTTACGGACAGAAGGACGGATCGCGTGAAAACTGAGCTTTCTTAACTCAATGGGTTACCAAATTTTCCTAGTATGGAGTTCCATCCCACGATAACAACAACAACAACAACAACAGCTATCTTTATTTACATGACCATAGCTACATACAGTGTTGCAAACGCTTTTGTGAGCTAAACTGAAACGGTAATGATTATCCAGTGAATATATAATAAGGTTATGATATAGCAATCAAGTTGCATTGGTTTAATTTGAAAGAAGAATATTGTCTAGATCAAAGCAAGATGAAATTAATTTTGCTGATTGAATATTCACATAATGATTTGTATGTAGAAGCCATCAGTTCGCCGATGTCTTTTAACAGAGATAATTGTTTAACTGTCGGAACGATATTCTCCATTTTGTGTAAAATTCATCTCTTAGAGTAGAGTATTTATTGCAATACATACCCGTAACAAATTGAGATTCATCCTCAATTTGATTAGATTCACAAATAGGGCAGAGTCTGTTAACTCTTGGAATTTGATAATATCTACCAGTTTCAATCCTTAGTTTGTGATTGCCTATCTTATATTTTACTAGTTCTTTTCTCTTGCTTAGCTTGCTTGGATGGCCTAAAATAAAGAAAGGTGTATAGTCGTTCTTAAAAGTGTTGAAAAATTTTACTTTATTAGAGAATTGCACGTTATATGTTGCAAGTATAAAATATATTTTTGTTGCATTAGGCTAACATAATGTTTGATTTTAGTGCTAGTTAAATACTTAAGATCAAAACAAGGCAAATTGTAAGTCACACACATTTATCACGTTAGAATAGAAGAGCATTACTGACATAGAGAGCCTGGAACTGGACAGAATAACGGTATCAAAACGTTTCTATTGGTTAGCTGCTCAGACAGACAGAAGTAGACACCCTCTTATTTTGTGTATGGTCAAGGCCAAAACACCGAACAACAACACAACAAAGAGCTTTGTCGGGCTTCTGTTAATGTGCACTAATTAAGTCTAACGATTTGTTTGTTGGTTTTTGTCTCTTTTCTTTTCTTTTTCTTCCTTTCATTTCCGTCTGTATACTGCGGTATAAATAAACACCGCCAACCAATAGACCAATTTCGATATAATAGAATTCAGCCTAAAACAATAGACCTCAGCAAGAGGCTCTGGGGAATGACTTCAGAGTTTGTGGGGTTCATTCCCAGAGCCTAGTGGTAAAGTCTATTGTTTTAGGCTGAATTTTAATATATCGAAATTGGTCTGTTGGTAGTGCTTGCCGATAAAATGTTGGGGTAACAATGCGATTGACTAGCATTCCATCCAGGAAGGAGTAACAGATGACTTCATACTTCAGTAGAGTCAAGTGCCTACAGCGGTGTGCCAGCTGGGTCTTTGTAATGCCAAGAGTTGGACCAACCTCGTTCCAGAGACCCTGGGAACGAGGTTGGAGTTGGACCGAAATTTAACTCGGGCAAATCTTCATAATTGCCGTCCCCCCCCCCCACCCCCCCTTACTCCACACACACAAACACACACAAAAAAATTGTCAGTGGAAATTTCATTGTAACTGTTTATGTCACCCAACAATGAAACACCGATGTGGAAAAATAAGAGTCTAGGGGGCCGACGGGAACACGTCCCAGTTTTGTGCAAACTGAAATGCACATGGTAATGCTTAGTGCATGGCAATACCTCGCTAGAGTTTTCAGTTCTGAGTTAATCTCTGAGAGCCTGTGGAACCTTTTAAAGCAGGATAAGAAGCAATTGGCGTACTCTCTCAATGATAACACAGCACAAATAAATAAATAAATAAATCTAAAATTAGGTCACGGTGACACAAGATTGTTCAAGAGAAGACCCAAGATGTCGAAAAACTGTTGTTATCTTTTCAGAAGTTCTCATTAAATTTCTAACAATCACAAGACATTTTCAGAATATCTCGGAAAACCCTCTAAACATCTTTTTGTTTTATTTGAGAAAAGTAAACTGATTTCACTCACTTAGGCTAAAGTTTTCAAACTTTTCTTGCAGTAGTAGGACCGGGTTGAGGAAGAAGAATCAGGCTCTGGGATGTTACCAGCATCCACCAATTCAGAAAATTGCTGTTTTGTCGCTTTTTCAATCTCGCTACCAGGGCTTTGCCCCTAAAGATTGGGAAAGGAAAGGCCCTGGGGATGAGGCTGCCGCTCTTTGTAATATGGAATACCGATATTTTTCATGGGCGAAATCGGATTTGTTTCTAGCATACAACTGAGTATTGTTTCAAGAGGAGAGCGAGGAAAACACAGGACTGACTCAAAAAAAGCTATCAATAATTCCTAATACAGTCAAACCTGTATTAAGCGGACCCCATATTAAGCGGACACCCTCTGTTAAGTGGTCAACAGTACAAGTCCCATTTTCCTCTTCCCACATCCACTGTAAAAAATACCTGTATTCAACGGACACCTCTATTAAGCGGACGCGGACACCTTAAACTTGACTATTATGGTCATTTCTATTGTTAGAAACCTGTATCAAATGGACACTGCAAAAAGAATGCATGGTTTTTTTTTGTCCACGTTTTAGCAGATCGGTCTTTTAAGTTTGCCAACCTAATACAGGTTTGACTGTATCTCTAAATTTATGAATATCTTAATATATTTCTAAATATTTCGGAAAACTTCTAAATGTACCAAAAAATATCCGAATATTTGCGGAGAGGCCTATTGATACGTAAAAATCATGGCAGCACTAGCTCTCTGAATTTAGAAAACGCATAAAAATGGCATTTCTGCCGACCTTATTTCAATCCTTGGCAACCATTTGCTAAAGACAATATGTGACATTAGTTTCCATCTCAAAGAAATAGTTTTTTTGCATCAATTTAAAATGTTCAGTTTGTTTCATGTTATATTATATTTATTTTACTTATTCTCGGCCCTGGAGGACTGCTTATTGCAAGGCGACAAGTTCGTGACCTCTAAACATGAATGTTGGTAGTATGTTTGTGTTGCTCGCAGGTTTAAACAGACAGGGATCACCACGACGAACAAGAATTGAATTAAATCACTTTAAGTGGATTACGGTGGAAAAATCGTTTTCTAAGTCATTTGTAATTTCATTTCAGGCGCCACTAAAGCTGAGAGTGGTAATTGTTCGACTTTCACAAATGCGTGCTGTTCTTTTCATCACACCAAGAATAGGGAAATTGATGAATATTTTAAAAAATAAATAAACAAAGTTTCTGTTTGTGACAATGTTTAGATTTCAGATGTTTTCTTTGTTAATGCTAAAAAGTTAAGTCGCAAAATATTCTGTGTTTCCGCCTGTTTCTCGACGGTACTTATTTCCCTGCTACAGATTAAAATCCAATTTCTTACAATTTATGTCTGCTTAATAAGCATGCAAACAGAGAGCCCCCTCGGCTTTTATAAGTCAAGTCAAAGCTTTTTGGGGTTTTTGTTTTCATCACAATTAACGTATAACCTCTACTAAGGTCGCTCTGAGCAACAAGAATCGCATTTGCATAGCGGGAGTAAAGTCGATACGAGTACGTACAGCTTCGACGCTTTTTCCATGCTAACTTAGGTAATTCAGTTAAGATACCAGCCGCCCAAAGCGAGAGAAACGAAACATCAGGTTAGTGAAAATACCATTTCACACTAAATGGTTATTTAATTTATAGCCTGGTACTGTTTCAGCCTTAAACTTTAAAGAATCGAAAGTTACACAATCAGAGAACCGTACTCCGAAATGAGTAACGTGGCACACACGGCAAGCGGCTAGTATTATGAGCAAAACCGGACTTTTTTCGTTTTCGTTTGGACGTACATTTTCCTGACTAAATTTAGCCATGACTAGAAGATAACATTTTCTAGGAACTACATTGCATCTAATCCTGTTTTATGGGGGATCGTATTTACTTGATTGTATACGCAATTTACTCTTTTTGTCTGCCTAAGAAATCATAATCTGCAATGCAAAATGTGCCCGTTCTAAACGACGTTTGTATTTAAAGGGCACAGCAAACTAGACAAGAATTGTCCTAAGATTCACCAACCACGGAATCGCGAGAAGTAAAAGTTATTCAACGAAGCCTGAAACTTGTCTCCTTCGAAGTTAATTAATCCGTTTTCACTTGGGATTATCGTTAAGACAAAGGCCCACACCATGCAGTTCGCTTTTGTTATAAGCATCCGACTAAAAAGAGATCGCGTTGGTTTGCTCACGTTGGACAGTTTTCGTGGACTAAGATTCTAAGGTGGCGCGACAAAAACTTACTTACGTCGTATTACATCTTCTGCGATAGTCAGTGTAAGAATTTATTGACCCATGTCAAAACTGTGATTGGATATCAATCAGAAGAGATTTGTTTAGGGAAACACGAGTGAATAATGGACGATTATTTGACATTTTTATCAAAACAATTTCGGAACTTAGTGGCAAAAATGTAAACACATTCAGCGGGGCTTCAATCAATGAGAGTTTACTGCTGCCAAGATGAAGGGACTACTTCGTGTGAGTCTCCATTTGCCTTGCACAACAATTACAGTTAATGGGGGACGTCCCGAGGGACATCTTGTACGGAGCAAGGGAACGCTTTTCGCGCCCGAACGAGCCAATAAGACAACATGTAAGCAACATGACGTGTCCTTGTTGTGCGGGTGGACACATTGATAAAGCAACCAACACTGAAACATTAGAAATTTAGCCTTGAGTAAAGAATTTTATTTTTCTTTATGGAACAAAAGATTTGTTTACTTTTTGCACGACGAATTTGAGTTTATTTTCCCTATAAGCTATCGTAGGTTTTAATACTTTCAATATAGTTTTGATAACGGTCATGAACGATTAGTAGTAATGATTAAAAGCAGTGTTTCTTGCACAAATTTCTTGTTTTGAGATTCGTTCATTATTGTTATGAGTGTTTTTAGAGCATACAAAGTGCTCAGTCTACCGTATTATTTGGTCCGGCGGGAATTCATGAATTAATTCATAACGCAAAACCTCTGAGGAGGTAGATAGGTAGATAGGAAAGCACGCACATAGTAGGTTAGTTGGTAGCTTAATGAAATGTGTATCTCTATTCATAATGTCAGCTTTTTCCCGCTGAGTAAGCTATGCGTCAGTGCTCATAGAAAAATCGTACCTTGCTATTTTTGTTGTTCCTGCTGTGAGGTCCGTTTCGCGTTCATTGACTTCATCGCTTATTATCTCAAGTATTCAATTGATGGAGGCCTAAAAAGATTGTTTCTATTATTCGGTTTGTCGCTATGGCTTTGCCACTCTCTCAGAGTTTCTTGCATACCCATGCATTAAGAATCTCCCATGGAGAGAACCACTCGGTCACTTTAGCGGTCACGTGCCCGAGAACACAACACAATACAACACTCCTCTCTACTCCTAACAAGTGCGCGAACCCAGACTTCTCGAACCAACGTCCAACGCGCTAATAATTGCTGACAAAGACATCTGGAAACGACTTGTAACAGCAGTGACTCCGGCGGTTGGCATCCTACTCTGAGTAGCTGATTTGTTATAAGTAATATGTTAACAACTATTTTTCTTTTCAGACGAAATCATGGCAACTGCTAAAGCGATTCTTTGTGACTGGTTTATGTTCATGATGTCTATTCCGAGAACAGAGCCAATGACCAAAGTACAAAAATTCACCCAGTGGTCCTCAGTGCTAGCTTACTGTGTGGGAGGGGGTAGTTTACTCGTCTGTCCGCAGCTATGGAGTATCCTTCTGCAGTTGGACTTCCTGGGTCGTACTGAAGGCTACCTTCGCCTTATTGGACTGGGCGTGGTCATCATTGGCTTCTTGTTCGTCGTCTCAGCACGCTCCAACCACCAGGACCCCATACATGCGACCATTTTAGTGTCCATCCTCTGGCGCTGTATCGGCGTGAACGGAATCCTACTAATGCTGATCCTTAGGGACATGCTTCCGCTCTCATTTGCTCTGGTTTTCATGTGCCTTGACACGTCACTCTCTCTGATCACCCTTGTAATATGGTGCCTTGAGACGGAAGGAGCCTCGATGAACCTCTTTTTCCGAGAGAGTTTATCACCAATCTTGAAGTGCCGCGGTATTACATCAGGGGGATCCATCGCAGCCGTCTTTTTCGTCGGTTTGTTTGAGCTATTTTTCTGGCTTGTGTTTGTTATAAGGCCTGATACTGCCCAGTATCTCCTCCAACTCGATGACTTCCAGGGACACTCCATTGGGTTCTTGGCAGGCTTTTTTTTCACCTTGTCTATTCATGGATGGTATCTCCTGGCAAACGCCAACACTATCAATCATCCATATGTTCCAGCTGCAGTGTTCTACCGTATAGTGTTCGATATACCGGTGTTTATCATTCTGTATTTGGTTGATCAAATTGAGCGCAATCTTTGCCTCACTTTGTTCGGTTTTGATGTGTGTTTTTCGATAGTTATTTTGATATTTGTGACTTTCTCCAAAAAGAAAGGCTCAACTATAGCTACAGAGGGTGACCAACAGAAACTGCTTCCTCCTGACGAAAAAGAGAAGAGTTAAACTATTGTTAATAAAATCATTAAATCAATGGTTATGATAGTCTTTTCCCCGCCCTTTCAGGGGGGAGGAATATAGCACCCTTCTTCAGCGAGGCGTAGGAGGGCGGGGGGGGGGCGTTAAGCTCCCATATAGATATCACTGGGATACTCGTTGGGCGTTTACAGAAAAAAAAAAAATGTACATTCGTTTATTGATGAGTGATATAACATAGGTGGTGAATCCAGGAAGATGGCAGAAGGAACAAAGCGAGAAGAGGGGTCAAGGCTGGACTTGTGATCGTAGAATGGTTATTTGTTTTCTTAGAAGGACTTTCGGACATCATAAAAAACTTATAATTCAATAAGTAAATGATTTTTTATGGTTAACAAATTAAGAAATAAATGTAAGGTTTTGATGATGCGAAAAAGAGTTGTTTCTAACGTTACTAAGCATACGTAATAAGATGCTGAGGAACCAACGCTTTTTGTAAGGAACATTTTCCAACATGGAACATTACCGCATCTGTGCACGTTGCTTATTCTTCAGTTGTACGCATGTGAAAACCTCCCTTTGTCACTTTATCCAACTAGCATATGCTCGTTAACAATTTCGTTCCCTGAACCCGCGCGTGTTCGGTCGACAGTGACCGAACGCTAGATGCTCAGAACGACATCAGAAACAAAAACCAGAAAATCCTGCATGGTTTCGTTTGGATTCTGCGCATGTGTTCAAGTTCAATAAAGGTTTCCGAACATGCGTAGAGAAAGTGACTTATGCTGACCCATATTCCGATTTCTTCCGAAGGTCTCGACTTCTTGGTGCTTACCAAAAAGGTTGTTTCGGTCTCAGGGAACGAGATCAGATGTAGTACTTGGCATACGGCTGGCGCGACTGAAATTTGAATTGACCAATCAGGATTTAGCAGGCGGGAAAAACTTTACTGTCCTCACATATACGTCAATGTATGTTAACAGGAAAAGCATTAAAATCGGGAAACTTTTCTCGCTGGAGATGGCATTAAATATTCACGAAAAGGGATTCACAGTTCCAAAAACCATATCACATTGCAAAAAATGAAAAATATGAAACATTTTGTGTCTCCAAGCTTCTGATTTGGCTCCAAAAATGGGCCGCTGGCGTCCAGCATGGCAACTCGCTCGAAGTTCGTCGAGTGTCGCCAGGTAGGATAATAGTTGTGTTATTTTGAACAAAATATGCTGTACCTCAAATAAAACCCGAGATTCTCAAGTTAACTAATAGAAGAGGGGCCGAAGCAACTTAAGCATTTTCTTCGTTTTTTTAGCTGCGAAGAAAATGACTGTTTTCGTTCCTTTCGGTGGTTTAAGTGAAAGTCCGTTTAAGTAGGACAGCTTGGTCTTTTACTGCCGCTCGGACTGCGGACGCAGCCCGCAGTATACAAGGTAAGGTGCAGTTAAGTAAAGCCTTTTGTTAAGAAATTTTCTCAAAAAATGCGTTAGTTTCAAACCGTAGAAATTTTTAATATCATAAACTACGAGTATCAAAATTCACATATTTACACCATACTTCTCTATCGAATGATTCATAATACTGAAAAAATTCATAATACTGAAGAATAAATAAATATTCATATATAAAATTCACAATTCCGATCAGTTCCAATCTTCTTTATAAATTCAGAGAGGTTTTCCAGCCTTAATACAAATTCATGGGTTTGGATTGGCGGTTGTAGCTTCTTACTCATCCGAATTTGTAAAATTGAAACGGAGTTTGTGATTGGCTCTTTGCTCGTGATCCATCAGAAGACGGA